CCCCCCCCCCCAAAGCAATTAATCCAGGCTGTGCAGGAACACAAGGTTGCGCCGCCCACATGGCCCGCAGGAACACAAGGCTTGCGTTGCTTGCATTGCGAACAACACGAGGTAGTGAGGGGAGGGGGGAAAGGGGGGAGGGGGGGAACTTGCCCCACTTGCCCCATGTGCCTCGCCTGGCCACCAGGCTGCTTCTTTCTGCTTCTTTCTTCTTCTGCTTTTGGCTGCACACAAGGAAAGCAGCAAAAGTCTTTCTTTCTCTCCCCCCAACTCCGCCAGAAATGAGTCTTTGGGACCCTGCAAGGCCTCCTGCTCCGAGAGGCTGCGCCAGCGTGACAAGTCTCACAAAGACTCATTTCTGGCAGAGTTTGGGGGAGAGAAAGAGAGACTTCTGCTGCTTCTGCTGCTTTCCTTGCGTGAAGCCAAAAGCCTCTCTCTCTCTCTCCCTGAGAACGGAGCTGGAGACGGTATCCTGCGATCCCAAATAAAGAATGATAGATCGGTAGGAAAATGGGGTAGGAAAATGGGGTGGGGAATTTTCCTACAGATATTTTTTGGGATTTTCCCAGGGTCTCTGGTTCGTGGGATTTAAAATTATGAGTTTGGTGGTCCCTGAGGTCCAAAAGGTTGGTGACCCTTGGATTAGAGCAGGGCTCGCCAACCTTTTGGACATCAGAGACCACAAAACTCATAATTTTAAATCCCGCCGCAGACCACTAGTATGAATTTTGACTGATGGTGGCTTGCTGACGTTGGTGGGAGAGTCAGTCCCATATTCCAGAGCTGCAGTAGTCATAGGACTGGCCCTTTGGTCATCCTGAAACAGCTGCTCCTCCACCCGGGTGCATCGGCCTGCCATGGACTGGAGGAGATGCTCCAGGATGACCAAAGGGCCAGTCCTATGACTACTGCAGCTCCGGAATATGGGACCGACTTTCCCACCAACGTCAGCAAGCCAGCCCTGGGTGGATTTCCCTCTCCCCGCCATTGGTCTTACCTTCCAGTTCCAGCTCGCGTGGCTCTACCCAAGGTAAGGTGACCACTGGACTAGAGAAACCTTTAAGATTCTTTCCAACTCTCATCATTATTCTGTTATTCATGGTTTTTGTGTTCTTGCAAAAGGTCCTGGGGCCAACCACTGCCAACATCTTGGCCGAAGCCGAGGCCGAAGCCTCCAAGTACGCGGATGGACTACAGAGCCTGGAAGTGGAGTGGTCCGAAGACACCAACGAGCCTCACCGCATTCTGACTTGTCAAATATGCCAACTTTTTGTGCGGACAGTCGATCGGCTGCTGGACAAATCGGAGCAACTCATGGATCATTACTTGCCCCTTACAGAGGAGGAAATAGGTAGGTGCGACACGACGATGTATAGGTAGTCCTCGACTTACAACCATTCGTTTAACCTTACAACGGCACTGAAAAAAAGGGACTTAGGACCATTTTTCCCCCCCATTTATGAATGTTGCCACTTATGACCACGGTGACGAGATCTGCTGCCAACTGAGACACTTGTTTAAGTGAGTTTCGCTCCTTTTCTGGCCACTGTGGTTAAATTAGTCGCACAGTTAAATTAAACAACGCAGTTGTTACAAGGTTGTTAAGTCACGAGGTTGTTAAGCCGAGGTTGTTTTCTTGTGCTTGCCTGGTCAGCAAACCTGAAGAAAGCGGTAGAGGAATTGGACGATTCCACCAATGATCATGAGATGCAAGTGTGCTTCGCCCGGATCAGCAACCTCTCGGGCAAACTTCGCCAACGTGCCTACATGATGGCCCTGAGCAAGCTGAGGGTAGCCCGGAAGAACACCGAAGAAAATCTGGCCCAGCTTCAACAAACCATCGATTTGGTAAGCTCAGCATCCCTTCTCCATTTGACGCTATCGCCTTCCGGGATGGATGTGCTTTTAAAATGTTCAAAAACTTTTTTTTACAATTCGTAAAACTTTCACAAATGTTTTCTTTTTAGTTTTAAAACAAAGTTTGTTTAAAGGTTTTTAAAATGTTTGCTTTTTAAATTTAAAAACTTTTACATTTTAAACTTAAAATTAGTTTTTCTATTTAATGGACTTTCTTTAGTGGGTTTTTTTTTTTTACTTTACAAAAAAAGTTAGTTTTAATACTTGAAGCTTTTTAAATGTTTATTTTTTTCAATTTAAAAAGTTTTACATTTTAAACTTAAAATTATTTTTAAAGAACTTCCTTTTCATTAAAAAAAATGTGAAGCATTTTTAAAAATCTAAACTTTTCAAAACTTTCAACAATTGACATTTTTAATTTTGAAAAATTTTAAAGTTCAAATATTTTAAATTTAAATTTTTTAAGTTTCAAAATTTTAACATTTTAAATTGTAAAAAATATTTATTAAATTTTAAAAATGTTATTTTTTAATTTAAAAAGAAATTTGTAAAAGTTTTTAAAAATGTAAACTTTTTAAAATTTCAACAATTGAAACAATTTGATATGCCCAGTTTCTCTTTTCCATTAGCCTCTATCGAATTCTGGGATAGATATGTTTTCAAAAATTTTGAAAATGTTTTATAAATTGTAAAACTTCTACAAATGTTTCTTTTTAGTGTAACAAAAAAAATAGTTTTTAATGTTTTAAGATTTTTA